AAAAAAAAAAAATTATTTTGTATTTGTTATCATTATTTTATTTTTCATTTGACCAGAGAGAGAGGAACAGAGAGAAAGCAAGCTGCCAGGTCCAGGACTCCAGTCATGGTCAGCCACGTGGGAGTCCAACAATCTAATCACCACGACACGTGCTGGCCCCTTAAAAAGAATTTTTTTTTTTTTTTTTTTGTGGAGAAGTTTTTTGCTATACAGTGTGTGCGCTCGCCAGAAAGACAGAGACAGAGAGACAGAAAGTGAGAAATCACCCCCCAGGGAGGATGGCCACGCCGCAATCCCTTCTCCTTCATTCTCCTCTCAGGATCTTGGGCACGCACACACACACACCCAGCATGAGTTTAAGCCACTGGGTCTGGGACTTGAACCACGGTCGACTACACGAGAGTTCAGCGACATAGCCAGTACGCTAACTGCTGGTCCCAAAAAAGAATTTTTTTAAAAATTGTAAACCACCTCCCATCCTTGGCACTCCTGGTCCCCATTTCCTGCTTTATTTGTCTCCATAGACTTGATGGCCCATGTCTGACATACTATATATTTGGCATACTTGACTAGCGTCTGTCTCCATCATCAGAATGTCAGTTCCACCAGGGGAGGGGCCTCCCCAGCGCCAGGCACAGGGCCAGGCACACAGCAGCAAGCTCAGCGAGCTGAGTTAGTGATGTCCCCCACCTCTTGCTCCTCCTGCGGGAGGCAGGTACGAGCACCTGGTGAACCTGCTAAACAAGATCCTGAATTTTTTACAAGATCCTGAACCAGCGGCCAGAGGACCCCTTGTCCATCCTGGAGTCACTGAACCGCACCACACAGTGGGAGTGGTTCCACCCCAAGCTGGACACACTACGGGACGACCCCGAGATGCAACCCAGCTACGAGATGGCAGAGAAGCAGAAGGCGCTGTTTTTGCGGAGCGGTGGTGTGGAGGGCGAGCAGGAGATGGAGGAGGAAGTGGTAAGTTTGCCTGTGGGGAGAGGCGCATGGTCAGGACAGAGGGGCCAGACTTAGGCCACAGCCTGTGCCAAGGTCTGCAGGCGAAAGAGGGCACCGCGCTTGCCACGGAGGAACAGATAGACCTTCAGTTGAGTGCACATGCCAAGCAGAGGGGTAGGGCCAGGTTACCCAGGGCCTTGAATGCCAGGCAAAGGAGCTGGGCTTTCCCTGAGGCCCCTGGGGTGGCATGGAAGCGTTTGAAGCAGAGGAAAGATTGGTCAGCTCTGCTTTTTAGAAAGCCGAGACCAGCTACCATGTCCTGGTGGAGGCTGATCTCCCCAATTCTGCCCTGCAGATGTTTTCTGTGAGACTCACTGTCTCCCTGGGCCTCTCAATACTGAGTCATTTACTCCCTCCTCTCACTGGACAGGTGAAAGAACATTTCCACCCCGACCCATTAACGCTCTACCATCCACAGAATGTTTGACTCCACGTTCCTGTTTCCAGAGTTGCATGATGCTTAATATTTGGGTGGAGTGTTCTTTCACCTGTCCAGTAAACTTCTGGAGCAGGGGACTCTGTTCATAATAATCGGCACCTCTGAGGTCCTCTGCTACGAGCTTTAGGAGAGCCACCTCGTTTTATCCCCGTTTATGACTCCCATTTTACGGAGGAAAGGACTGAGGTTCAGAAAGTCAAGACCAAGAAGGCGGAACTATGGCTCCAGAGCCGGTGCTATACCCTCTACTCTAGAGTCTGCTGGTTTCTGAGACTCTGCGATTCGAATGACATTGGAATAGGAGGTGGGAGAAGTCAGGAACCACGATCTGACACAATGAGTTGGAGCCTTACATGAGCTCAGCGCAGATGGAATCCAAGCTTCAGGGCCAAGGAAAGTGAGAAAGCCACCAGGTCTGGGACTCGAACTGTAGTTGCTTGTGCTGGAGTCCAGCACCCTTAACCACCATGCCACCTGCTGGCTTCCTCTGAGAATGTTTTTAAATGGCAGACCGCTATTCTTTCTTGGGAGGCAGTTCCCTTGTAACAGCTTAGGCATCTAATGCAGTTACTGACCACCGCTCCTTAGAACACCACGCGGTTGGAAGCTCCGCCCCTTAGGACATCAACCCCTCACAGGCCCCGCCCTGCTGGAGTTCAAGGCCTCGGGAGGCCCCGCCCCCTTAGAACTAATTATCGCCGGAGACCCGCCCTCTCTGTACTTGGACCTAATTCTTGGGGTCTGTAGAAGGGCAATACTGTGGGCTGTGCATATTGCTCGATTAATTTAAGGAAGTCCGTGATTCAACATTTTGTATTTGTCTCTCTAGTAAGAAGCAAGGCACTTATTTCTTTCATATTCTATTTCTTCCAAATGACTAACCATGATCACAAACAGCATCTATAGAATACTGCAATCATTCTCCCCATTGCCTTGAAATGCCATCTGTACCATTCTTTTTTTTTTTTTTCTTAGAGAGGGATTTCTGCTATAGGGCTCATGTGCTCACCAGAGAGTCAGAGAGAGACAGAGAGACAGAAAGTGAGAAATCACCCCCCAGGAAGGATGGTCATGCTACAATCCCTGCTCCTCCATTCTCCTCTCAAGATTTTGGACAGGGATCAGCAGTTAGCGTAATGGCTATGTCGCTGGACTCCCATGTAGTTGACCGCGGTTCGCGTCCTGGATCTGGTGGCTTAAAACTCACACCGGGTGTGTGTGCGTATGTGCCCAAGATCCCGAGAGGAGAATGGAGGAGAAGGGATTGCAGCGTGGCCATCCCTCGGGGTCTTGGTGTTCTCTCTCTCGGTCTCCCCCTCTGTCTCTCTCTCTCTCTGTCTGGCAAGCGCATGCACCCTATAGCAGAAACCTCTCCAAAAAAAAAAAAAAAAGATTTTGCGCACACACACACACGCACTCACACACACACGAACCTGGCATGTTTCAAGCTGCTGAGTCTGGGACTCAGATTGCGGTCATGTGGGAGTGCAGCAACTTAACCATTACCCCATCTGCTGATTCCATGTCTTCATTTTTAAAAATAATTATTTTATTTTATTTATTATTTAGTTTAGTTTTTAAAACAATTATTTTTTAACTTTATTTATTTACTTATTTTTTTAAATTTGACCAGAGAGACAGAGAGAGTGTGTGAAAGTGAAAAAGCAAGCCCTTAACCACCATGCCACCTGCTGGTCCCTAAATATATATATTTTAAAGTTAGGAAATATTGAGACCAGCAGTTGGCATAATGGCTATGTTGCTAGACTCCCATGTAGTCGACCACAGTTCAAGTCCCAGGTCCAGTGGCTTAAACTCATGCCAGGCGCATGTGCATGTGTGCCCAAGATCCTGAGAGGAAAATGGAGGAGAAGGGATTGTGGCGTGGCCATCCCCTCTGGGGGGTGATTTCTCACTTTCTGTCTCTGTCTCTCTTTGTCTTTCTGGCGAGTGCACGTGCCCTATAGCAAAAAAAAAAAAAAAAAGTTAGGAAATATTGATAGATGATGTTGGAGAAATAGAGGCAAGTGGCTCAAGGTAAGTGTTTTTCTCACATATAATAGTCAGGTACAGGGACCAGCAGTTGGCGTAATGGCTATGTCGCTGGACTCCCATGTAGTCAACCACTGTTCGAGTCCCAGACCCAGTGACTTAAACTCATGCTGGGCATGTGTGCATGCATGACCAAGATCCCGATAGGAGAATGGAGAAGGGATTATGGCATGGCCATCCCCCCTGGGGGGTGATTTCTGTCTCTCTTCTCTCTGTCTTTCTGGCAAGCACATGCACCCTATAGCAAAAACCTCTCCAAAATAAATAAATAAATAGTCAGGTACAGGGGCTAGACAGTGGCACAGTTGTAAAATGCAACTCTCTGCAGGGCAGTCCCATTGGGAGGGTGCCTAAACCAAGTCTGGAGACTTCCCTCAGTACCCCGGCATGCATATGTCCATGCATGTGGAGCTGTGGAGCTGGTCCTGTGGCCTGGTGGTTAAGGCAGTCATATCCCACCTGGCCAACCACATGGTTTGAGTCCTGCACCTAGCAGCTTGAGAAAGATACCAGGTGCATGTGCATGCATGCACATGTGCCCATAATACTTCCCAAGCTACCAAGGCCAAGATTCCAACCTTTTGGTCAGCCATGTGGGATTTGGGTCCCTTAAGCACGAGGACACAGGACTAGCTAAAACTCCTCTTTTTTTTTTATCTTAATTTTTAAGGAACTATGTATTTATTTAATTCTACTTGCTATTATTATTATTTTTTTATTATTTTAACTTTATTTATTCATTCATTTATTTCAATTTGACCAGAGAGGAGTAGAGTGTGAGCGAGAGAAAGAAAGCCGCCAGGTCCGGGACTCGAACCACAGTTGGCCATGTGATCCCACCACCCTTAACCACCAAGCCACCTGCTGGCCGCTATTTTTTTTTATTTGACCATACAGAGACAGAGACAGAGAGAATCGCAATTGGCCATGTGGGAGTCCAGCACCTTAACCACTGTGCCACCTGCTGGCCCTGGGGAGTTTGTATATTTATCTTTGCTATATGATTTCTCTGAAAGCGAACAGGGCCAAATTAAAAAGGAAGAATGGGTATGTGAGTTAGAACGATTGCGCTGTCCGAAAAGTCATTCCATATTTTTTCCTGTGTTTTCTATGGAGAAATGCATCATGACTTCTCAGACAACCCAATTTATGGTTTCTGGGACCAGGCAGTGGTTCAACAAAGGCTGAGCCACATGGGAAAGTTGCAGATTCATGTTTGGGGACCTCCCTGGGTACATACATGCCCATGATCTGGGCTGCTTGAGGTTGCGGCTGGCTGGCAGCGTCAGGCCCCTTTTGGAGTGCTGTGACTCTGTCTTACTAATGGAAGCGAAATAAACTTGAAAATAAAAAATAAATTTAGAAAAGGGGGGAGAGTTTATCATAAAGATGAGGTGAGTCCCTCAATCAGAGGACTCCGCTTGGCCTCAGGAATAGCTGGCCCCACGTACCGGCACCCACCTTGTCCTGGTTCTCTTTCTCTCTTCTCTTTCTCTCTGCACACTGGCCTCCATTGCCTCTCTGCGCCTGCTAGACTCACCTGCAGCGAGACTCCCGACTCGCATGCCTCCTCAGCAGCCATGAGGAGGTGGGCCCAGGTTCCCCTCCCATAGCTGCTGTCGCAGAGGACCACAGACGTAGGGGCTTGGACAGTGCCAGTGTGTCATCATGCAATTCTGAAGGGTGGAGTCTGCAGGGGGCCTCTCTGGATCAAATCAGGTGTCGGCAGGTCTGTGATGCCCCTGGACGGTAACCTCCCCTCAGCTTCCTTTTTCTTTTCTTTTCTTTCCTTTTGGTTTATTTTTATTTATTTTTATTTTTTACTACAGGTATATGTGCTCACCAGAGAGACAGAGAGAGACAGTGAGAAACCACCGCCCAGTGGAGATGGCCATGCCGCTGTCCTTTCTCCTCCATTCGACTCTTTGGGGCGTGAACACATACATGCTCTACATGAGTGTCAAGGCATAGGGTCTTGTGGTCAGCCATGTGGGAGTCCAGCACCTTAACCACTATGTCACTTACTGGCCCCTCAGGATTTTTTTTTAACCTTAGGGCACATGCACTTACTAGAGAGAGACACAGAGACAATGAGAGGGAGAGTGAGAAATCACCCCCCAGGGTGAATAGCCACTCCACAATCCCTTATCCTCCTAGGATCTTAAGCATGCATGCATATGTGCCTGACATGAATTTCAAGCCACCAGGTCCAGGACTCAAACCATGGTCAGTCATATGGGAGTCCAGTGACATAACCGCTACACCATCTGCTGGCCCTCCTCAGGATTTATTTTAAGAATTATTTTATTTGGGACCAGCAAGTGGCATGGTGGTTAAGGTGCTGGACTCCCACGTGGCCAATTGTGGTTCAAGTCCCAAACCTGAAGGCTTGCTTTCTCACTTTCTCTTTCTCTCTGGTGAGTACGTGTGTCCTATAGCAAATTTAAAATAATGGTAATATTATGAATGATTATTAATAGTCAATAATTAATAAATAATTATTTTAAGAGGTTTTTGCCATAGGATACATGTGCTTGCTAGAGACAGAGAAACAGCGAGAGAGATAGTGCAAAATTACCCCCGAGGGGGGTGGCCATTCCACAATCCCTTCTCCTCCATTCTCCTTCTGGGGTTTTACGTATGCCCTCACATGCATCCGTCATGATCTTTAGCTACCAGGTTTGGGACTCCACCACAAAGTTGTCCATGTGAGATCCAGTGCCTCAACTTCCATGCCACCTGCTGGTCTCTTCTGTTTTTGTTTTCATTTTAATGTTTGCTGTAGGGTGTGTGAGCTCACCAGATACAGAAAGAAATCACTCCCAGTGGGGAGGGCCATGCTGCAATCTCTTTTCCTCCTTTTCCTCCTCAGAATTTTGGACATGCACCCACACACATACACATACACACACACACACTTCTGTTTTTGTTTTCATTTTAATGTTTGCTGTAGGGTGTGTGAGCTCACCAGATACAGAAAGAAATCACTCCCAGTGGGGAGGGCCATGCTGCAATCTCTTTTCCTCCTTTTCCTCCTCAGAATTTTGGACATGCACCCACACACATACACATACACACACACACACATGAACGTGTGCGTGCACACACACACACACACCGGTAGATATTTTTAATTAATTAACTAAACTCTTTGTTATTGTTATTTTTAATTTGACTGGACAGAGACAGAGAGAGAGAGAGACAGAGAGAGACAGGGAAAGCGAGAAAGCAAGCCGCCAGGTCCAGGACTCAAAATGTGGTTAGCCATGTGGGAATCCAGCACCTGTAACCACTGCACCACCTGCTGGCCCGCGCACCAGTATGTTTTTTAAGCTGCTGGGTCCAGGACTGAAATCATGAAGTTGGCTATGTGGAATCCAGAGCTTTAACCAAGAGCTGGACCAGCCTCTTCCACTTTCTAGAGGCCACCCACATTCCTTCTGGCCCCACACTCCTTTTGTGTGTGTGTGTGTGTGTATGTGTGTTTGTAATAGGGCACAAGCACTTGCAGGAGACGGGGAGAGAGAGAAAGTGAGAAATCACACCCAGGAGGGCCATGCCACTGTCCCTTCTCCATTCCCCTACCGGGATTTTGGGCACACACACGAGCCCAGTGTTTTATTTCAAGCTGCCGGGCCTGGGACTATATCAGCACAGTTGGCCATGTGGAATCCAGCTGCCTTAACCACCATGCCCCCAACTGGCCCCCAACTGTGTATTTCATAAAATGTCTAGACTAGCTGAATGAAAAGGTGTTGGGGACAGCCTTGTGGCCACATGGACGTGGGGGTGGGAGGCATTTCCCGGGGAAAGGGAAGTATGTTAGTCTATAACCTGTGCAGGTGTGTATTTCCCTTCTTCCCCTGACTTCTGAGCTGAAACCTCGCTGGATTCTAGTCTCGATTTCCTTTATTTCATTGGCTGTGAGAACAAGGCGGATGACAGGGAGGGAAGCAATGAAGGCGGGATCCGCCAATATCCTTGACTCTTTGGTTCAAAACCTGCCCTTAATTTGCTGTGTGCCTTGGAGAGTGTGTTAGGAGTGCATTTGGCTGCAAGTAGCAGAAACCATGACTGAAAGTGACTTCTTTGTCCCATACAACAAAAAGGCCAGCGGGTCAGCGATGCCACTGGGGACCAAGCAGTTTTAACCTTTCTGATCCACTAGTATTAGAATGTGGGACTTTGGGGACCAGCAGATGGTATAATGGTTACATCGTTGGATTTCCATGTAGTTGACTGCAGTTCGGGTCCCAGACCCAGTGATTTAAAACTCACATGTGCATGCGTGCCCAGGATCCCAAGAGGAGAATGGAGGAGAAAGGATTGTGGTGTGGCCATCCCCCAGGGAGATGATTTCTCACTTTATGTCTCTCTGTTTTTTTTTTTTTTAATTTTTTAATGATTATTTAACTTTTTTTTTTAATTTGCTCATTTCAATTTGACCAGAAAGGGACAGAGGGAGAGGGAGAGAGAGAGAGAGAGAGGGAGAGAGGAAAGAGAGAGAGAGAAAAAGCAAGCCACCAGGTCTGGGACTCAAACCACAGTCAGCCATGTGGGACTCCAGCGCCTTTAACCACCACACCACCTGCCAGCCCCTCTCTGTCTGTTTTTGTCTCTCCACCAAGTGCATGCATCCTATAGCAAAAATCTCCAAGGGAATGCACCCCAAAACAAAAAACCCCTCCAAAAAAAAAAAAAAAAAAAAAAAAAAGTAGGATTTTGGTTCCTGTATGTGGCCTCATAGTCCCAAACTAGTTGCTGTGGCTTCGGATCTCACATCCTGATTCAGGCAGTAAGAAGGGGAAAGGCTGAAGAGCAAAGCATTTTCCTTAGCGTAGCTTTGCCTTTTCTTTTTAACACGGTATGTCCTCCCCAAGGACACCCCTTACATCTTACTGGTAGAAACTGGGTGAGCAGCTGAGTTAGAGGGTGCTTTAGGTCTCTTGATTCTAGAAGAGTCAGGCTAGGGTGCAAGGTTTCAGCCTCCTTCCCTCTGCCCTCCATCCCATCCTCAGCAGAGCGAGACCCCCGTGCCCAACGTCATGGAGACAGCCTTCTACTTCGAACAGGCGGGCGTGGGCCTGAGCTCAGACGAGAGTTTCCGCATCTTCCTGGCCCTGAAGCAGCTGGTGGAGCAGCAGCCCATCCACACGTGCCGTTTCTGGGGCAAGATCCTGGGGCTCAGCCGCAGCTACGTGGTGGCCGAGGTGGAATTCCGGGAGGGCGAGGAGGAGGTGGAGGAGGAGGAGGTGGAGGAGATGATGGAGGGCGGTGAGGCCTTGGAGGCGCACGGCGAGGAGGAGGGCGAGGAGGACGAGGAGAAGGTCGTTGACATCATCCCCAAGCCGATGTGGAAGCCGCCGCCCGTCATCCCCAAGGAGGAGAGCCGCACGGGCACCAACAAGTACCTGTACTTCGTGTGCAACGAGCCGGGCCGGCCGTGGACGCGGCTGCCGCACGTCACACCCGCGCAGATCGTGCACGCCCGCAAGATCAAGAAGTTCTTCACCGGCCACCTGGACGCGCCTGTCGTCAGCTACCCGCCCTTCCCTGGCAACGAGGCCAACTACCTGCGGGCCCAGATCGCCCGCATCTCGGCCGCCACGCACATCAGCCCGCTCGGCTACTACCAGTTTGGCGAAGAGGAGGGCGACGAGGAGGAGGAGGGGGGCGCCGGGCGCGACTCCTTCGAGGAGAACCCCGACTTCGAGGGCATCCCGGTGCTGGAGATGGTTGACTCCATGGCCAACTGGGTGCACCATACGCAGCACATCCTGCCTCAGGTGAGCCTGGGCCCGGCCTCCCCGCCTCTCACAGAAGGTGTGCTCTGTGCTGAGGTGTGCCCCCAGGTACAGCACCCTGCTCCTGCCCTCTGCCGGGCACTGGGCTTAACGCTAGTCATTCACTGGCCCATCCGTTCGCTCCACAGTCCTTGCCTGATAATCCCCTCTCGGAAACCTCCCCGCCAGAGCGTCCTGGAGGAGCTCTGAATTCCCCAGATTTTACAAAGTAATGCAGGCACTGTCATCCTCGTGCACTGCTTCCAGCTGCCTCAGGCACCAGCATTTCTTTTTTCTTCTTTCTTTCTTTCTTTCTTTCTTTCTTTCTTTCTTTCTTTCTTTCTTTCTTTTTTTTTTGCTATAGGGCGCGTGCGCTCGCCAGCCAGACAGAGAGAGACAGAGAGACAGAAAGCGAGAAATCACTCCTCAGGGGGAATGGCCACACCGCAATCCCTTCTCCTCCTTTCTCCTCTCGGGATCTTGGGCATGCACCCACACACGCTCGGCCTGAGTTTAAACCACCCACTATGTGGGAGTCCAGCAACAGAGCCATTACACTAGCTGCTGGTCCCAGGCACCAGCATTTCTGCAGCAAAACCCAATAACCCATCGTCAGCCCAGGTCACAGCTTACAACACAACTCTAGCTTTTCAAAGCGTTTGGGATCATTGACTGAAGGACAAGAGATTATGGACCTGCAGTTACAGAGAACCCGGTGGGTCCCGACTTCACAGTCATCATTTAAGAAAGGCTGGGCCCAGCCCTTTAGCGCAGTAATTAAATGTCACACTGAAGAAGCTGGATCCCACAGGGCTGACCAGGGTTCGAATTCCAGCCCCAGGGCAGCATAAAAAACAGGCTAGGTGCACACCCTGCCCAGGATCCTGACAGGGTGGAGAACTGGGGGAAAAGGGTTGTGGTGTGACCAGCCTCCACTGGAGGGTGTGCTTTCTTTCTCTCTGTCTCATGCATGCACATGCAAACTCAGCATTAAAACAACAACAACAACAACAACAACAACAACATGGGACCAGCAGTTAGCGTAATGGCTATGTCACTGGACTCCCATGTAGTCAACCGAGGTTCGCATCCCGGACCCACTGGCTTAAAACTCACGCTGGGCACGTGTGC